ACCATGAACATGAGATGATGCAACTGGGTTATCGCCAAGTGGCATGTGCGGTGTAGGGAAGTGGTCGTGGCATGGTACTGCTAGTGGTGGTGGTGGCGGGACCAAGTAGCCAGCAAGTAGGGTTCCGCTCGATAAGAGGTTTATTAACATAATCCCTTGAGCCCGTGACTTCTAATTGCTACAGTGGCAATGGACAAGTTGTTCAAGCCAGAGAAACATTTGACTCGCCGCTTCAATAGAGTTCTGGGAATGTAGAAAGGCATGTGCCGCAGTTCCGAAGCCATTAAATTCGTCAACATTCTCAAGCGTTCGTTCGTGTTACACGAGCGTATCATTTTCTTCTGTGCGGGAGAGAATGACAGGTCGTGCATAACTGCTCTTTGGAGGTGATTACCAGCCACAAAAACAAATTTGATGGGTTCTGTTGATTATTCGGCAAGATAAGAGTTGAAATCTGTGGACATTGGCTAGAATTTAATCACTAGTTTATTTCTCAAGCTATCGCTGCAAATTGAATAAAAAAAATTGAAACATAGAAGGAAACAGATGGTAAAAACCTTTTTGATATTTTCATTAAATTTTGTATCACAATTTAGATATCAAAACTTTTAACTTTATTCAATTGAGAGTTGTTTTAACATGATCTTATTATTTCAATAAGTTCAAATAAAAAATATCAAAGAAAAAAACAAAAATAAATCAGGTTAACTTTAATCAATCAATGTTATGTTATGGGTTCTATTAAATTCAATTAACTTTTTTATTTTATTTTATTTTATGATTATATACACAAAATCTCATGCAATAAAAATTCAATAAAAAATAGTGCTAAAATCATGAAAATCAATTTGATCACAACAAGTGGAAACTAACTTACATGCATGAATTCCTAATTAATAATCAGATTTGGATCTAGTTTTTGATGAGAAGATATTCATAGGAGACCGAAAATTTTTTACTTTATAAGATGTTAACTTGATTTGACTTGTTGAAGATGAAAATCATTCACATGAACCCAAAAACTTTAATTATGTGATATCTTAACTTGATTTGATTTGATGAAGAAAATGACTTTAACCCTTTACTTCCTTGATGAACTTGAATTTTTTTAAGAGAACTTTCAAGTATTTAATGATTTTGATCCTTTACTTCCTTGACGAACTTCAAGTATTTGTGTTTGATTTTAGTCTCTGCTTGTTGTCTTTTTTTTTTATTTTTTTCTTCTTGTTGTTTGCTTGATGTGCTTGATTTGATCGCTTTGTTGTTTATTTATAGATATATTAGGTGCAATTTATCTCAAATGTCCTTTATTTAAAGGATATTTTAGTAAAATTTATATGAAAATTACTTTAAATACCCTTAACTTGAAGGATATTAAAGTAAGAATCATAAAATATATTTGAATTGAGTTTTTAATTTAATTTGAGTCTAAACTCAATAAATTTAATTTAGGCTCAAACTTAATAAATTTAATGTTTTGGTCATAAAGAATTGAAGTCATGAGTTGAACTTGTAGAAATTTTAGAGTTTATGAATCCTTCCTCGTGATTAATTTTCTTTTGCAATTTTTAATGCAATAAGTAACTTTTTTTTTTAATATAATCGTATACATATATTGTGTGTCTTTGTGTTCACAATTATGATTTCTCCCCTCACCTTTTTTTCAAGTAGTACATTGGCATGTTCATATTATTCCAAAATACTTTGGCTTTGGACATAATCCGTTTACCTACCTTAATTTAACAAGAGTTGGTTTGTTGATGTGATAATAAGTATTTTTCAAACAATTATTAGTTTAGAAATATATTAAAATAATATATTTTTAATTTTTTAAAATTTATTTTTAATATCAGCATATCAAAAAATATAAAAAAATAAAAAATAATAATTTTCAAAAATAAAACCATAATTAAAAAACACATATTTGAAACACAAAAATAATAATACTTGTCTGTTTGAGAGTGTGGTTACGGTTGTTTTTCATTCCGAAATACATTAAAATGATGGTTTTATTTTTTAAAAATTATTTTGGAGATCGACACATCAAAACTGTCACGGGGGTGCGAGCGCCGCGACGTCGTCTAGAGACTACGAGAGGCACTTGTTGTGCCTCCTATGTGAGGTATTGTGTGTTGGAAAGATTTTTTGGATTTAATCATAAAATTATTATTAATGTTTAGGAGTCGCCACTTAGTATTATGATCACTAGAAATCTATGGTTTGCGAGAGTCTGAGTAAGGCACTAGTTATGCAACGAGAAAACACATTACCCCTAATACACCCTACCTAAGATAAAATGCTTTGTTATTTGATTATTTTTTCTAAGTCAGGTTTCTATTTGTTACTTTTTTCTAAAGATCAAGGCAAATCTCTCTTTATAAGAGAGTCTCTACCTTATCGGGTTAAATTCTAACTATTCTAAAGTCTAAATTTTAGCATCGTATTTATTTACACGTTGTATCTTTAATACCTGGGGATGTATTTTATCGAGTAATTTTACACCCCATAAATATTAAAGCCAGAACTGGCCCAACCCAAAGTGGAAAATTAATAATTCTGCTGCTGCATTCAGAAATGAATTCTGCATGCAACGGCCTCGACGAAGAAGAAAGAGGCTATGTAATGAGGAGAAAGTTGCCTGGTTTAAGTGTCTTACACGTACTGAGGATGTCTGGCCTGTGGCACAGGAGACTTTACTGAGGTGATGGTGGCTAGAGTCTGCTGTGGGAGGAAGAAGAAAAAGTTACATAGAAGAGAAAAAGGTTGGAAAGATAAGAGAGAGTTGCGGTAGCAGCTTGGTGGTCGGTTGGTGATTGTGTTGGCTTCCATGGTGGAGAAACTGGTGATGGCTCTGGTTGGTGGCTAGAACGGTGAGGAGAAACAGTGAGAGAAAAAACTACAAAAATGGAGGCAGAGGGGTTGGTTTTGGCCGACTTTGAACCTGATTTTCTCCTCTCTCAAACGATGAAATCCACCTTTATTTACAGAAGGTGGAAGAGAGCAATCTTCTCTATACTGCGCAAAAATTGCAGTCCTTGATTTAGTTGGGAAGGATCCTAACCATTAGCTTGAAGTAATCATTCTGAGTTGTCAAATCTGCAAAAAAAACCTGACTGAGTTGGCTTCTTTAGGCCGGTGCTAGCATCGATGGCCTGTCATTTAGCTTGAAAAAGCCATATAGGGTTGTAGAGAAAGTGCAGAGAATCTTTTTCATGCATGATTTATCAAATTTGATAGATATTAGATGCATTAAATGCATCTGCAAAGTAGGCACCCAGACAATTTCTTTCGAGTAAAATGGGGAAGACAATGAATAGTGACCAAACGACGCATCGTCTGGTCCTCTCTCTCTCTCTCTCTCTCTCTCTTAATGTAAAACGGTGTTGTTTTGGATTGAATTCTCTCTCTCTTAATGTAAAATGGTGTTGTTTTGGATTGAATTAAGGATTTCATCGATGTTTAATCTAGTCCTTTATTTTTCAATTATTTTAAATAGAACTCGTAATTGACACTAAACTTTTGATTTAATACAATTAAACCCCTGATAAATTATTGTTTGAGCCCTAAATTTATTCACCTTTTGCAATGTGGTCTTTGGTATCGAATTTATACAATTTAACATCTAATTGACCATTAAACTTTCAATTTCTTCAATTTGACCCCCAGATTTTATCAATTAAGCCACTATAGTTTAGGGCCTTTTACAGATTGGTCCTTGGCTATGAATTTTTTCAGTTTGACCCCTAATTTCAATCAATTAACTTGGTAAAATTAAATTTGGTATCTTAAAATTCCAATCTTCTCAATTAAGTTCAAATTAGGCTCTCAAACTTAATTTGTTTTACCAATTAAGACCCAAATAAAATTAATTGGACTCATTTAAAGCATACTTAAGTCCTTGCACTTAATTAAATCCTTCAATTTAACCCAAATTAATTCTTAAACATAATTAAAATTTAATTTGCCTATGATTAAATCAAACTGGCCTATTAAAAATTTAATCATGTCCTTGAACTTAATTTTTATATAAATTAATCCAATAATCATTTAATTTGACTTTGAATTTGTGTTTTCTTCATTTTTTGGCATAATAAAGTACAATTAGACTTTAACATTTCCTTAAAAAATTACAGCTTAATTTCTCGGTCTTCTTTATCCACATTGATATCTTTTATTTTATTTTTATTTTTTTATTTTTAAAAAATATTATTTTTAAAGAAATAACCCAGAATTGAATTATAACAAAAACAATCCAAAATATAAAAAATTAATTTTTCACACCTGCATTACGAGTGTTTGGAAACAAGGATAAACTTATATTTTTAAAAATTTAATTTTTAAAAATATAAGTTTATCCTTGTTTCCAAACACTCGTAATGCAGGTGTTTCTCAAGTCAGTTGCATTTTCCCACGACTAGGACTCTCGAAAGGGACTTGGAGTGACTAATCCCCCATTTCCAAATCTTGGATGGTGGACTGACCTTAATGTCTCATTCATGGCCTAACTTCGAAGAAGTTTGCCAGCTACTATGAAAAGTACTCTTATCCGTTATCAATCAGACGCCCTTCCTCCTAATATACCAGATATGTGCTATCATTTCTTTGTTAGGCAGGGAAAGGCTAGTCCTTTCAAAAACGCCATTTGGGAATCTACGCCTTACAATAAACGTGTAGGAGTCAGACTAGGTAGCCTATTTGCCTTCACTAGTTACAAATGGCAGCACCCCCACGAGGTAAATATGCAATGCCATGTCGATAAAATCCGTCAGAATCAGTAGTTCTATACTGCAAAACATAGAGAGGGTCAAAAAGCCCTTGGAATGAGGAAACTATCATCAAGAACAGCGCCTCGTCCTAATTAAAAAAAAACCTTTTTGATGTTGTGATGGAAACATTTCATGTGCGAAAATGTGAGGTGTGTTAAGCATTTGGACCAGACTATAACATGTCAAAATCATATGTTTCAATCCTTAACCAATCCAATGGGCCTTACTTGATAACTTTTTTCTTTTTTATTTGAGGAAAAAAATTGAGGTACGCTTTTCAGTTCATTCATTCGGAAGCCTCGTTCCACAACTGAAATTCTTTATGAAACAATAAAGTTTGAAGTGTTGACTGTCTGCCTGAGGATTGCAGCGTGATTGAATAGCTTAATTTGTTGAAGAATCCTTATAAAACGCGGAAATTCCCGTGGTCCAAACTCTTGGAGCTGGGAGTCAATATGCAGGGTCCAAGTCGTCGTAGTATTTAGAAAGCCATTTTGCGATGATGCTGACCTCTCTTTTTCGCACATCTTGAAGCCATTTTGGATCTTCACTGGTTGCAAATCTCAGGTCCACATGGTGAGCCCCTGTGCGACCAAGAAAAAAAAAAACATTGTTAAAAAGGAAAGCAAATGGGGTATGGAACTTGTAGATTTCAATGGCCCCAGGAACAGATTTATCTTGAAGATTTTATATTGAATTCTTGAACTCGATGCTAAAAAACCATTTGAATTTAATAATTTAAATTATTAGATAAAATTATAATATATATTAGTAGATAAAATTTTAATATAATATATGAATTATATTACTCATCATCTACTAACCTTGCTTTGCTACGATAGCAACTATGCTGCTGGATATATTCTCTAGCACCCTGTCATAACCATGAAGAAAGCACGTTACTAAAAAAGGATAAACTCCTTTGCAGCACAATCACATGTTCGATTAAAATATAAGAAAGCGATCATACCCCCCACCGCTCCAAGGGTCTCTCAAGCCATTAAAGAAGATGATGTTGCTGCCGAATCTTTTCAAGACCCTTTTAATATCCTGTTCGAAACAGACAGTCAGATCATTTGATTATTCTTATTAGTGGTATTGTCGAGTTAGTCTGCTGTGCAACAGTATTATGAATGCCACTAATCTTAAAGCATGCCTGCCCTCAATGCCATAGTAAATGATGCACTCACATGGCCCCCAAACTCGGTTGTGATCCAATTGGGTCTCGGCTCAACACCAAAGTAGGCTTTGCAGAAAGTAGCTCTATCATCGTAGTTCCACTCAGAAGCCGTAAATATGCTGTCCTTGTTGTTACCACTCGTTGGCAGTATCATCTCTGTACATGCCTGCAAATCAATCCCGCAAAACAAGGGCAATTTCATCAGACTCCTTACATTTTTTCTTCAACCTGATTTGTCATGCTTCTCTGTTCTGTTCTGTTTCTTGTTCGTTGGCTCCCTTGCCTTGCCCATATGAATAATTTCGATGCTGGGCTTCAGCCCAGTCAATATATCTGAACACCTTTTACTGAAAGTTTGTTTGATACAGTAGTTATTTATTGTTTAAAAATATATTAAAATAATATTTTTTATTTTTGAAAAATTATTTTTTTATATTGGATATCAAAACAAAAAATTAATAAAATTATTTTTTTATATTGGATATCAAAAAAAAAAAAATTCTTTAAAAAAAATACTTACACAAAAAAAAAAGTATCTAGATAAATTCTTTAGGAAATCATGGCAAAATGGAATCCAATCAATACCATGTGGATGTTAAAATGTAATCATTTGTAGCATCTATAGAACCAACATCAATTCAGTCCCTAAATGTTAGAATTTCTCATTGTTAATAATCAATCTTCTTGTTTCCAAAGATGTGCGAGATTTTAAAAAGTAGTGGTACTATATTGTAAACTTCATGAAATGATGTTCTGCAATAAATACCTGCCACGACCATCCGCCAAGACCGTGAGGATCAGAATCGTCGTCGAGATTGAAACACGTGGCAGTTCCACTATAGTTATAGTAGACAGAAGCCGCACCGTACAACTTGGCAAACGTATTATTTCCCGTCTTTGGATCGTCAATCGCTTTACACATCTGCAGAGGCCAAACGTGGTTTGTCACGGTATGTATACTTCATAAGTACCATTGTACCCCTGTAATTTATTTAAGAATCAGGCCCCGTTCATAAATACCATTGTACCCCTGTAATTTATTTAAGAATCAGGCCCCATTTAGTACTGTGGTAGCTTATGATTTATTTTCTCAACAACGCATAAAAAATTATTTATCAATTTATGTGTTAATTTAAAAATTATTTTTATAAAATAATTTTAAGAACACGTTCCTTGAAATATTGTTGAAAGTGAATTCCATATCAATCAACCATATGTAGCAAAAAAAAAAATTCCATATCAATCAACCATATGTAGCAATTTTTTTTTTTAATTTCAAAGTAGTTTCAATAAATAATTTGATAAGGAAATAGTTGCTATTTCTTTAAGACTAAACTAAGCCAAATAATCAGGGAGAGCATTAATATAATCTCAATTGAAGAGAAGCAATGATAAGCACCTCTTTAACGGGATAGGCAGGCATGGGACTTAAGAAATTTGAAGGGGTGGGATAGTCTGTCATGGCTGTATAGACCAGAGCAGTGTAAAGCCAACTCTGGAGAGAACTTGCACTAATGGAGTTCCTGCGGGTAAGAAGAGACCAACAAGATTATTAAAGGAATTAAATTCTAGATAGGTTGCAATGAAAGCTAGCTTGCTGGTTAAGTTTATGCTCCTCACCTGCATATTCTAAATGACCTTCGAAGTATTTCGAGGCCTCCAGGTTGGCTTGCAGTGTTCTCAATTTCTTGCCATGATCTTTTGATTACTTTGTAACAGTTCTCACTCTCTCCCTGAGTTAATTTCCAAGTGCAACCACTAAAATATTCAGCTCTCTACCCTTTTTAATTAATAATCTATATATAATCATGATCACAATATTAATTAATATCCTCTAGCTAGCTGCTGTATATTATAGATTATGTGGTTAAGGCTCGTTAAGATTGGACCATATAGTAAGATTTTAATTTGAGATTTGACTGCTTAGCTGATTGTGCTATGACCTTATCACTTATCACAAATCTAATCATGATCTCTAATTGTGGCAGGAAGACAAGAAGGGAGTTTAAATTTAATGAATAATTGAGATTGAAAAAGAGAGGGGGGACCCTGAAGTCTTGAGTGATGATATTGTTGAAGCTGTATGGTGATGTTATGTTCTCGAAGTTGAGGATTGGTGAAGAAGACGCCAATGCTCCAATGGCGACATGAGGATATTTCAATCTGAACCATGCTGCCAGCACTGCAATAGTACCCCAAAAAAGAAGTTTATTTCTTACTTCCTAGGAAATTCCTCCATTCCCAACATCAACATTTCAATCATGCATGCATACATACATACGAACCATGATGGTATGCTGATGGTGACACTGCGTAAAGAGCAAATTGAAAAGGAAGAAGGAAAGGTGTTAATTAAGGATAGAAAGCCATACTTCCTCCGTAGGAACCTCCAAAAACCACCACAGGAGAGTCGGTGGCGGACAAGTTCTTCTTTAGATCAATTATAAGAGTGGCATAATCGGCTAATGCCTGAGTTGAGGTCAGGTAACCAAGTGTACTTGAATTGCTATAAGCAACCTCTTTATTTCCCCCAAAAGGCATGGATTTTCCATAGAACCTATGCTGCAATTAATCACATTAACTTATTTAAATAAGGAAAACAATAAAAAGGACATATATATATATATATATAAGCCTACTTAATTCGTCTTGTTTGGTAGCCAATAAACATGGAGAACAACTAAGCAATCTTTTTCCTTGGTTGATTTCAAACCTTTCTTACACTCTTACATCCACTTCCCAGCAACCAAACTAAAAAGAAAAAACTTCAAAAAATTCCATGGTATATATATGAATTCTTCATTTGAGAGAGATTAATTAAATAATTACCTCGATGAAAACAACAAGGGGTTTGAAATGGGGTGCAATGTCAAAAATAAATCCAGTGTTCTGTGCAAACCATTCGATGTCTCCTTCATTTCCCGTGTACAAGAAGATTGGAGCATTCTTCTCCGCCCCGCCCCAATATTTGTCGTTGATCAAATATCTTTGTTGAAATGTTTTGTAGCTCTGGGGTCTGAAAGTGTAGTGATCGAGCACTTGAGTGAAGAACTTTTCATGGTAGAGCTCATGTGGGGTAGAAAGAGAGATCTTCTCTGCTTGAATGATTGAAGAAGGGAAGCTTGGTATGGGCTTAGCAAACGATGAAATACCAAAGAACAGCAAGGAGAGGAGAGAAAACAATAGGGATGTGAACCCAGTAGCCATTATCCTGATGGTTTGTTTTCTATTAGCTTCTGCTAGAGCGAGGAGAAATTAAACTTCAACTTTGATAAATGAGAGAGAGACGGAGGAATCTTAAAAATCAACAGCTTGTAAAGAACAAGCCATAAAGCTGATAGTGCTTTGTGGGCTACAATGCTGACAACTTTTTCTTGCTGGACTGTTGGCGTTATGTTTTGATTTTTTTTTTAATTTTAAATTATTTTTTTATGTTATATTGAGTCATTGACCATTTCTAGAGGGGGGGGCTTGTGTTGGAAAAAATGATGATTGGGATAGACGGGCTGGGGTCCTCGGATAATTTTCTACAACCAAGACAAAGACAATCATGTGCGCGCTGACATTTCCGTGTAAAATAAACCATTTTTAGGAAATTAGTACATGAAAGGTATCGATTAATAAATATTGATAGGTATGTTTAAGAATATGTTTGAGATTGTGATAATAATATTTTTTATTTAAAAATTTTTTAAAATTATTTTTTAAAATAATGATAAATATATTTAGGGAAGTAAGGAGAGGTATATTTAGGGATGTGCTTAATAATATTTATAAGTGTGATAATATTTTTTAAAAAATATTTTTTATTTAAAAATTTATTAAAATTATTTTTCAAAATAATCATTCGTATGTTTAGGGATGTATTTGACAATCTTTGTAAGTGTAATAATAATTTTTTAAGTATTTTTTTATTTAAAAATTTATTAAAATTATTTTTCAAAGTAATAATAGGTATATTTAGGGATATGCTTGACAACCTTTGCAAGTGTGGTAATAATTTTTTAAGTATTTTTTATTTTAAAATTTATTAAAATTATTTTTCAAAGTAATGATAGGGATATGCTTGATAATCTTTGTAAGTGTAATAAAAAAAAATTAAGTATTTTTTATTTAAAAATGTATTAAAATTATTTTTCAAAGTAATGATAGGCATGTTTAGGGATATGCTTGATAATTTTTGCAAGTGTGATAATAATATTTAAAAATATTTTTTATTTAAAAATTTATTAAAATTATTTTTCAAAGTAATAATAGGTATGTTTAGGGATATGCTTGACAACCTTTGTAAGTGTGATAATAATTTTTCAAGTATTTTTTATTTCAAAATTTATTAAAATTATTTTTCAAAGTAATGATAGGTATGTTTAGGGATATGTTTGACAATGTTTGCAAGTGTGATAATAATTTTTTAAAATATTTTTTATTTAAAATATTTTTTAAAATTATTTTTCAAAGTAATGATAGGGATATATTTGACAACCTTTGTAAATTATTTTTCAAAGTAATGATAGGGATATGCTTGATAATCTTTGTAAGTGTAATAAAAAAAAATTAAGTATTTTTTATTTAAAAATGTATTAAAAGTATTTTTCAAAGTAATGATAGGCATGTTTAGGGATATGCTTGATTTAAAAATTTATTAAAATTATTTTTCAAAGTGAGGATAGGCATGTTTGGGGATGTGCTTGACAATGTTTGTAATCTTGATAATAATTTTTTTAAAATATTTTTTATTTAAAAATTTATTAAAATTATTTTTCAAAGTAAGTATAGGCATGTTTAGGGATGTGCTTGACAATGTTTGTAATCTTGATAATAAATTTTTTAAAATATTTTTTATTTAAAAATTTATTAAAATTATTTTTATATTATCATATTAAAATAATTTAAAAATACTAAAAATATTAATTTGAGGTAAAGAAAAAAAATTTAAAAATTAAATCTTTTTAAAAAAAGGTTTTTGAAACGTAAAAACAACATGTTATTAAAAATTACATTTCACATTATTTTTTATTTAAAAATATATTAAAATAATAATTTTTTTATCTTTTAAAATACATCAATACAATTCGAAAACATTAAAAAATTTAATTTTAAATAAAAAAAATCAAAATTTAGATAAATAGCGTGATGGCCGCACCAGCACACACGCGGTACACCATGCAGGAAGTGTATGTTGATGAGATCAATACACAAAGTACATATTTGATAATTTCATTTTTGGCATCTACATGTATTGAGATTGAGATTTGCCGCTGCACTGACACCAGATCGGTACTCCTAGGAGTGGGAAGGAGTCACTGGATATGTTATCGTACCTTTGGCAAGGAGACCGGATCCGTTTCCTATTCGGGCAGCAGCTGTACTCTACTCGCCAAGACACATCATCATGTCTTTGATTTCTTTGTCTGTCTCCTCCTACAGATCAGTTATGCTCAAATTATCTCCTTTCTTTTAGACACGCCGGCAAGTCATGCATTGTTGCTTCGATTTATTCTGAAATAAATATGTATACCAGGATATCTAATTTTATGTCGTGATAAGATCTTCAAAAATTATTTATTTAATTATATAGTAATAAAATTATTATTTTTTATAAGAGAAATAATTTAAATTTCATTGAAAGAAAATCTAATATAATTCCTCCTTTTCTTATTAACATATTTTTTCAACCAAAAGATTATATCTTTTTTGCCATGGGTTCTTAATTTTATTTAAAAAATGAAAAGAATTTGAATAAATATATATATATATATATATTATTCTCTTTCAATATTAATGAGCAAATAATCATAAAAATTCCTCTTGTGTTAGTACATAATTATTCATGGAGCAATCAATCTTAATCTTTTTAAAAACAACAACATTGTTTTCTATTAGGAGAACACTTTCATAATAAAAGACAATGATAATTAAAATAAAAATTTGTTAAGAAACAATAATAAAAAAAAAAGTTATGCAAAGTGCCTGGTGCAATAGAAGAAGGCTAAGTCCACGTCCTAATCTTGTTTATTTTTAATTTTTTTAAGGATCAGATAATATATTGTCCACTTATTATTTTTGAAAAATATTAAACATTGACCACACAATCTATGCATAGACAACATAATTTACATGCTACTTAATTTCATACACATGACATGCTGCTTAATTTCATACGCATGTCACTAAAAAGTCAACTTTTTGACTTTTGAACCACAAACCCATTTTTTCAAATATTTTCACTTGAAAATACATAAAAAAAAAACCTTTAGAAACCTTAATGACCCATTTATGGCCTTAAAGTCGCAAACAATTGATTAAAAATCACAAAAATATCCTAAAATTATAAAACTTCTCGAACCTCAATCTATTTTTTCCAAAAAAATTAAAGACTAAAAATCACCACCAACAAACTCATCTTGTTGAAAGAAACTTATTAACACTAAGATTTTTGTTTTTAGTCATTACAGTCCTGACAATCGATAATTTTTTATATCTTCTCTTATTTTTCAGTTATTGTCTCTTATGTTTCTCAAACTCAAAAAATAACAAATAAATAAAATAAATTTTTGAAACAAAATTAATTTTGCAGAAACTACATGGGCTGAATTGGAAGAGAAAGGACAATAAAGAGACTTAAAAGCACTTTTTTTGTGAATTTTAGATAGGCCATAAAGTTTCTCTATATTTTATATTTGGGTCCTCTCTATTTTAAATTTCACTTTCTTTCATAATTTCAAACTAAATCTAACGAAATTAGGTTAGAATAAGATTCAATGGAAAGAAAAATAAGTTTAATAGCCAAAATACAAAGAACAAAAATATTAGCATATAAACAATGCCAAACCCAATTACACAAATATTTCGGTAAATAAACTTGGAGAACAACTAAGCAATCTTTTTACATTATTATTCTGCTAATACATAATTATTCATAAAAAAAATCATCATAAAAATATCTTAATCTTCTTGAAAATAACAACAATGTTTTTTACTAGGAGCACGCTTTTCTAATAAAAGACAATGATTTGAAATAATTATGAAATATATATTTCTCAAATATAAATTCAATTTTCTTATTAATGTATTTATTGATTATTTTAGTGAAAGTATGTTTTTTAACTGGAATTGCAGTTTAAAAAAACATATTTCATGATTTTCAATGCAACATAAAAAAATATCTATCAAAATAATGTGTCCATATTTTGTATGTAATTGAAGACTAAAAAAATAATAAAAGTGATAATATCATGTCAACATATATTTAATTTTTTTTAAATATATTTTAATTGAATATTCATGAGAAATTTATAATTTTGTTTTACATATTAGGTATGTAATAATTGAAAAGAAATTGTTAGTGTTTTAATAAAAACTATAATATTAATTAATAATGATGCCAAAGTTAAAAGGGTAAATGAATTATCATGTTAACTATTTGCAAAAAAATATAGGGTCAGGCTTGTGCTCGGCCCAATAGAAAAAGGTCACGCTCACACCCTAGCCTTGTTTATTTATTATTATTTTTTTAAAGGAGGAAAGACATGTCATCCATCTCTTTTTTTTTTTTGAAAAACAATTAAACATAAATGAGGCATTGTTCTGCGCAGACAAGTGCGCAGAAGATTCTTAGCCTACTACCTAGTTTTTGGGTACTTCAGGTGTCCACAAAGTCACTAGAAAGTTATCCTTTTGACTGTTGAACAAAAAAATCTATTTTTTTTTTAACTATTTTCACTTAAAAACACCTAAGAATCCTAGAAAAATCAATAAACTTATTTGTGACCTTAAAGTAGTGAAATATTGGTTAAAAATCACAAAACATACCTTGAAATCAATAAACTTTATAAGTTTTGATCCACTTTTTCCAAAAAGATAAAGGTAAAAAACCATCATTAATGAACTTATCTTATTGAAAGGAACTTATTAACACCAAGATTGTTGTTTCTAGTCACTAGAATCATGAAAACCAATAACTTTCTATCTTTTCTCTTATATGAAAAGATTTTAAAAAAAAGTTGGACCAAAATCAAATTTGCAGAAACTATATAGGCTACATTGGAGGAGAAAGGACAATAAAAGGACTTAGAAGCACTTTTCCTATGAATTTAAGGTAGGCTAAAAAGTTTTTGCATATTTTATATTTGGGTCATCTCGCTTTTAAACTTGGTTTTCTTTTATCATTTCAAGATAAATCTAAAGAGATTAGATTAAAAAACAAATAAATTAAAAGAAAAATAAATTTAATGACCAAAACACAAAGAAAAAAAATATTGGAATTGTTCATGTGCACAATCCCAAACCCAATTACACAATTCTTTGATTAATAGATTTGTGAACCTGTAATATGCCATAAGATTGAATTAATTTGCTTCAAAAATAATGTTTAGGT